AGAGAGTGAATGGTTGTTTGTCTCATTTGTCTCTGTGTCCCTGTGATAGACTGTCCAGGGTGTCCTCCGCCTCTCCCACAGTGACTGCTGGACATGGGCACCAGTGACCCGTGACCCAAAAAGGAAGATGTGGGTAAAATATAATGGCTGGATTATTTTAGCTGTAAACAATAATCTGTTGTATATCTTTATTTACAGAATATGAAATCAGCTGTAACACAACTTTATTTTAGGATGGTTCTTTATTTAGTTAATACTTTTTACGTAGAATACGTACCTATTTTTACTCTAATTTATTTATTATTCAGCCACTGGATTATATTTGTTTTTGTAAATCTTTTATGAATAAGCCATAGAATATGCAATCTTTATGCACGGTGCTTTTGTTTATTCATTTATTTAAATAAACATTTTCCATTTGCACTGTTGTGTCTACTTTCCTGTATGACACTTTATATTTTTTATATAAATCTGTCTTTCGATCAACTTTTTAGTTGAGTGTTTCAGTCTTTTCTTTTGCTGCTGTAATATTGCAAATTCTTCCATAAGAAACTAATAAAGTTCCATCATAATAGATTCTATTTTGTATTGTATTGATGAAAAAGCGCCTTAAACCTAAACTGTGTATGTGCTAAAATGCAAAAGGAGAACGAAACTAGGACAAAAAGCACTTTTGACAGTAGTATTATAAGTATTTATGAGTAATAAACTTAACATTATTTGAAGGTATGTCAAGGACATGTTTTTACATGAAGTTCAGCCGTTTACATCTCTGTTTTAGATCAAAAGTAATATTAATAGTAAATGTCTAAACTTGTTTACTTGTTTTTAAAATTCCTGTCAACATATAAGCTTCTGACTAAATAAAAGTGACTTGAAAGGCACTCGGACAGAACTCTCCCCACTGTAAGACATGCCTGAGAGTTATGTTTACCTTTATCTGGAGGCCGTTGTTTTTTTTAACAGCCAGCTGAGGTTAGCATTTAGCATCGCACAGCGAAAACAAACGGGCAACACTTACGCCATTCGTCCTCGTGCTCTTGGTTTTTACGAAGAACGGGAAGGCGGCAGCCTTCTACGATCTCGACCTGTTTGTAACAGTATGTCAGTTAAAAACCTAATGTCCTTATCTTCTTAATAATAATATATGTTTCGCGAACCTACCGAAGATGCGCTGTCCACCATTTTCGTCATCTGTGAGTGCAGCAGCAGGGAGTTGTGGGAAAATGCCGGTCCACGACAAAGACGAAAATACAGCAAGATGGTTCGCCTTCCAACCACCGGAAGTTGTTGAGCCAAATCATGTTTTTTTTTTGTTTGTTTGTTTTTTTTAGAGTTGTGTTGCTGTTCGTTGTTCAAAACGCAATTTAAAAACAATGCCTTAAAACTACATTTACACGAAATTACATTCAGAAAACAAACTAATAGGAAAATAAACGCTGTATTGCTAAGTAGCTTACTTTTTAGATAGCTAGTCATGTTGAAACCAAGAGTGACACTATTCCAAAGACATCAGTTTGTCAATACTATGTGAAAAAGCAAAGATATTGCAAAGGTAACCCAATCAGTTTGGTTTGTTATTAATATTTTGACACAGATAGTGAATATATGATAGAACAGAATTGAATGGTTTCATTTGTCATACAGTGAGCAGTCCTGGTTGGTGATTAAATGTAAAAGATCAAGCATTAATGATATCAAATGCAACATAAATAATGAACAAAAGAAAAAACATTTTTTATACAATAGTCTATCTCCGAAAGGTCTTGGCATATACACTTGTACAAAGTAATATTGCACACAATATTTTGTAAAAGTATGTGAAAATGTAAACTGTGTTGAAGAAAAAATTATTTATTGTGGCTTATTGTGCATTGACTAATCAGCAGCGTCTGCCAGAATGCAACTGTTCAGATAAGTAATATACAGGATGTAAATTATGGAGGATGGAATGTGACTAAATTAAATAAAAAAAAATACATCATGAAATGAAATACATAAATACTTCATGAAATAAACAATATGTACCAATAAATGTCCCATTAAATAATTACATGTATTGTTAGATAATTTAATTATCCTATCATCAACTCATTTATCAAATAAACCACACAGGATATGAGAAGATCTTTACAAACAGTGGTTGTAAAACCTTTGCTAAATTTAATCCTCGCAAGCGGAGCAGGAATTGGAAACAGGCATACAAGATATTATGCGATGCCCTGATCACAAAGTCTGCCCGCGGACAGCATAAAAGCATCAACTTACATGCTTATCAGAAAAGGCGAAGTCAAGACAACTCTGCTTTCCAGCTTAGGGGCCTTGAAGCTTATCAGATTTGCAGGCTCAATGCTCCTGCAGGCTCCACTTTGTTCAGATAAAAAAAAAACAACCTCTAACTCACTCACTATTAATTTGACATTAGTGGATTATTAGGATTATTGAGCATACATCAGGAGATTGACATGAGTAAGTTTAAAACATCCATGACTTTTATATCCCCCATCATGTATCATTTAATGGTTTAATATATCATTAAATCAGTAAATGTACAACTAAATTATTAAATACACAATTAATTCCATGATGTATTTATTTGTTTAAATTTGTATTTATTTATTTAATTTTGTCATATTCCACCCTCCATAGCGCAGAGTGACTGATCATGGAGCGTGGAGGGAGCAATTTTATCCACTGCCACGGGGAATGGTGGAGCCAGGGGGTAGCCAGTGGTGGCCTTGGCCCCCATAGATTAATCTTTGGTCACCCCACCACCCACCCCAATCATTTGAGGAAACTATACTTTTAAGCACAAAAGTTGCTTCCCCCCCCCCCCCCCCAAGTTATTCAGTTTACAAGATAGATGGATATTTAAGGCAGCAGCCATCTTGGAATTTGACGTAGCAAACCTGTTTTCTATAGGCACCTTTCTCGCTCCTAGATGCAGATTATCAACATTATCAAGAAGTTCATAAGCAGTTAGAAACACACATCCTGTTAACAATATGTAAAAAAATGTGAATTAACAACATGAAGAGCTTGCCTCAACTTCCAGTATCTGTCTTTTATTTTCTGTTGGGCTACAAAAAGCAACAATAAGATTTGCTCACGTCTTTTTTCCTTTTTGTCAACGGTCTCTTGAGAAAACAAAGAGCGAAGACTAGATAACATTTCTGCTTCAAAGACAGCTTTTCTTTTGTCATCTGCTTTTCAAAATGAATCGTGACTAAACTGCTTCTCCACCCTGAACAACCTCACTGTGCACATTTATAGCAGCACTTCAGTCCCACTAATTATGTGCCATTTTGCCTCCCAGTAATTAATGAGATCACAAAGACAATGGGGATTTTGTGCAGCAAAATGTGTCAAAAGCATGGAAACAACTTTTCTGCTTCTTTGTGATTGCTTCTTTTTTAAAAACCCTCTAACATAATTCTTTCAACAGTCAAAGTGATTATATTTGTATACACCCGTCTGTAAACTTTCTTTTGTCCTGCCTATAACTTCTGATCCGCTCAAGATAATTTAACAAAACTTTACATACGCATCATCACTGGACAGAATGTAGCATACACTTTTCATCACCCCAGCTTCAAGATCAAGGTCACAAATCAAGGTCAAATGTTATAAACGGTCTTTGCTTGTCTGGCCATTGGTATAGATTGATGTATATTAATTTGTCGATGGGCGTGTAACGTGTCTTGTGCAGTTCTCTTGTTAATATTTGGGTTTCAAAGTTCAAGGAAATGGCTCTCAGAGGGTTTTAAAAACAAAACATCAGACTATTAAATTCAATGCTTTAGATTTGCTTGTTATTTAAACACCTAAAAGTGGAAAGACAGGAACTGAACAAACAGATTTGGATAAAAAGTTCACACGTTCTTACAACGTGCTGGTTAATAAAGTACAAGAGAAACAGATTGTTGTTCCACGATAATTATTTATATTAAAAATCAGTTTTTATGCAGCAAATCATTTAAAAAAGCAAGGCCAAAGGTTATAAATTCTCTTTATTATAATCCTTGGAACAGCATTCAGTATACAGAACTCGAGTTTGCTGACTAACCATAAAGGAAACTATAAATCATAAATTATATAAGAGCAAAATAAAAATAGATAAATAAATACAATTCAATAAAAACTCTCAGTCGCAGTGCTATTTTCAAAGCTTACTTCAGGAAATAGCCTGAATAGTATTATTATTTTCCATGCATGATAGAGTGCATTTCAGTCTGGTGGATTATTATAAAACATATTAAAAAGTGAATGATTAAAATGTTAAAAAGACTTTAAAACAACTTTAAGGTCATCAGCTGCTTCACCTCCAAAGACCCTTTTTGAGAACACATAAATGAACTTAGTCAGGTTTTATAGATTTTCTGCCGAAGCAAAACAATATTTAACAAGAACTATGATTAAAAATAACTACAGACAAGAGCAGACGGTCATATGTCACATTTTAAAGGGACAGTTTGGACATTTTAAAGTGTGGTTCCATAAAAAAGGTTTATGCAATAAATATCTTATCTGTCATAGATAGCTCTTTGCAACTCAAAGTTAAGAAAATCATATTGTTTTCTGTAAGCACTATTTTTTAAACCTTTACATTACTGGCAATTCCACATTGTATGGTTATTTCAACAAAAAAAATATTAAGCTACTCCTGTCAGGTGTGCTCCAGGCTGCACCAAAAATGCCACAGCTAGCTGCTGCTGTTCGTGCTTGCAAATAATCATGGTTGCAAACAAATTCTTAAAATTACATAAACCAATGAGAAAGTTTTGAGATTGGTTATTTAACACAAGTAATCTGCTTTAGTCTTAGTCTCCTATCGGACTAGCTGTTAGCTCATCGTTCCTGTCAGAATTTGATTATTTCTCTAAACTGGGGACGCTCAAACTACAACAGGTAATGTATTAAACGCTTGTAATCTTTCCACAAAACCTCACTTCAAAATGTTTGCACTCATCCTTTAAAGCAGAAGTACATTTCTTTTAAACTTTAGACCAAGACTTTTTGAAACACTTTCATATCTTCTATATTTCTGCTTTTTCTTTTGTGCAAACTGTCTTTTTTTCTTACCATTTCATGTCCTGCTCTAAAAAAAAAATTTCCACTATTTGAACTGAATCTTGGGAAGATCAAATAACACTCCTGCTGTGTTTGCAGGAAACCCGACTAAATTCCCTGGTAGCAGCTCAAAACCAATTATCTTGGCAATTCCTGACATTTTAATAGCAAATCCGCCCAGACTCAACTCATACAATATCCAGTTTAAATTAAATTAATTCAGAAACATATGTCATGAAACAGAGGCAACAATAATACAAAAAATGTTCCCTTTTCTCACATTTTCAAAATACCTTTGGAGGGTTATTGCACGTAATAAAAGTAACAGGAAGAGACTTCTAAAGTGACCGAAGCAACAGCAGGGGGAGGTATTAATCTAAAAACATAACAATGTTGACTATTGCTGTTCTGACAGAAACAAAGCTGCTGCTGCATCAAGCTGATCATGATCTTCCTGATCCAGCAGCTCCCTGTAGACACTGACAATCAATTCAGCTACATATTGACACATTTGGTTCTGCTCAACTCACTCTGGCACAATTCACACATTTATATTTACCCTTCACACTCCACATTCTCTCTCTTTTTCTTGTACTTATTTACTCATTTTATCAATCGCATGTTTGATTCCAAACAGTCTAAAATAATTAGGTGGAAAAGCAAGAGATTTGCTTTTCTTCAACCATGTTCTGGATGAGGAAATGAAATCTGAGCTTTAAATTTCATTCAGCGCCTTTTTGCTTTTTTTTTCAAGCAGCACTTGTCTCGGCTATATAAAAATAAACTAAAATACAAATAAATTATAATAAAAAAGAATAAGCATACACTGAAAAGTGCAAATATACATTTGTTTACAGCATAACATATCCACTGTACAATTATTGGTTATATACTCACATTATTTTATGCATTGTATAATAAGGATTACTAAGTAGCATAGTTTGAGTAAGAAATATCTCATAGCAAGTCTTTTGGAAAATATTTGCATTGCAGTGTGACTATAAGAGGCTCTTCTAAACATTGCAATGATGGTTTTGATTGTGTGTTTGTGACTGCAAGTGAGACATCCGAACGATGAAGCAGAGTAAAAACTCAAATCATTCTAGTTCAGAGGCACAAAACAATAACAAATTAAAAAAGCCCAGCCAGCATTTCAAGTATCTAGCATTGTTTTTGGACGACACGCATCGGTCAGACATCAGCAAAGCAGAGCGAAAGATGAGGAAAAAGGGGAAAGGAGGTGTTATTTCATTAGCTCAGGACAGGAAAGAGGCAACTAACAGTGGAAACGAGCATTTTAAACAAGAAAAGTGCCAAAACAGTGACACAGGTTAGACAAACATAGTTTTTTCCCCCTCTATATTTCTGTCTTTGTTAAAATCTGCAGAATAAGCTACTTCACTTTTTCTAAAACCTCATCCTCTCTGAGTCGATAACAGGCCCTTGCGACGAAGCTGGAAATCCCCCGTTCACCTTTCCAGCTCAATCCTTATTTTTTACGGCAAAAACAAACAAGAAGAAGGAAGTCAGGACGACTGGTCGACGTTGGTACGTCAGTTTGAGATTTCCACAAACAACTCAGACAAGTTTCAATACGCCACCAGAGGTTGGAGCAGAAGAAAACGATCCTCGGTGGAAGTGATCCGATGGCAGTCGATTTGTTTCAGTCGTGTTCCACGAAGACAAGTTCGCTTCGTGGAACAGGTACCTGAAAAGGTCCTCCTACAAGAGAAGTATAAAATTTGTTTTTATCTTGTTGAACGTTTCCATTTTCCTGATGGCAACTCGAGGATATCCATCTAGAACTCTTGACACGTATAGGTCCGCTTACAGTGAAAAGGGGTCTGAGTACCTTCGGACAGGATCACCTATAGGCACTGGTTTAAGACAAGTTGCACTGTCATGTTTTTCCACAATCTCGAAGTTTTAGCTTACAAGTACAAATTCAGACTTCTCAGGTTTAATGAAACATGCGTATGGTTACTTTGCTGTGCAAAATAATGTATCTTAATCCAGTTTATTTTTATTTTCTGTTTTCTTGGTGAGCCTTAATCTTTATTAAAGTCCCAAACCCCTTCAGTCCATGTACCACAGTCCAGTTACGGTGATGTTGCAGCACAGCTTTGGATGAATAGTGTGAATGTGAAGTGGAAATGGAGGAAGAGAAACAATGTTTTCTCACACTGCTAAGCATTCAAATCCATCCATGGTACCTTCTAGACATCTTAACGCTCCGACTTGACTTTGTAACGCAAAACCAGGTAGGTGGCCAGTCTGAGGACGAGAAAAAAGACGCCCAGCACCATGAAGTCAACATAAAGCTTTGCATCCTCCACATCCAGCAGCTGCAGGACCTCCTCTGGCTTTTGAAATTTACACATAGTGTCCGGACACTCTAGCTCTGACCGGTTCATGCCGTAGATGGAGAGTATCACGCCCTCAAAGCCATATCTGAAAGCAGTTTGGACATGATTAATCAGTACAATTCCTTTAAAAACAATTCATTAAACATTTAAAAAATAATGCAAAAATAGGTTTGATAAAAGTGTGAATTAGCAAAGAACAGTGTAGCTGACGACACCTGACATAGGAGACGTAGGAGCTCCACTGTAGATATTTTGGAATTGTGTCAAAGTTGACGAAAAAGCCAGAGAAAAGAAGGACAGGTATGGCTGTGACTGGACCGACAAAAGTTGCAACCTGTGAAACAAGACGACAGCATAAAAGCACTCAAGTAATTAAAATGTTGTAATTAAAGGTATAAGGTACATTAAAAAAGATCAAGAACAGTACAACTTCAAAACAGTCATCTTTCACTTTGTTTGGTTTTATTTGACCTCTTTTCAGTCTGTTAAGTTATTATACGTTTAAAATGCATTTAATGGATGAATGCACCCCGCTCCATGCACTGTGATTGCTGGACATGGGCATAAGTGCATTTAAAATACTTGTTTCCTTTCTGGGAATAACAAAAATCTTCCAGATGACTGGGTTTCTATAGCAACAGTAATTAGAGAGACAGAAAGGAAAGTACTTGGTGTGTCATCAGGACAGAGAATGGATGATAAGGAAACCTGGTGGTGGAATTGTGAAGTGTAGGAAGCTATTCAGAGAAATAGAGGGAAGAGGAAGGGGGAAGTCTGAGATTGTCATCATTGTATGTTCCCATGCAATGGTGAAATTAGTTCTCTGCATTTAACCCATCACACCTGGGATACACCCAGGTGGAGCAGTGGGCAGCTATGTAAGCACCCGGGGAGCAATTAGGGATTAGGTGTCTTGCTCAGAGACACCACGGCATGTAGTAATGGCTGAGAGTCGAATCGCAATTTTCTGGTCCCAGGTCGGCTGCCCTACCTCTACCCCATCTCGACCCCCAGATAAGAAAAAGGTTAGCCAAGAAGAAATATGACAGTGAGAGGACTGAAGAGAGGAGACAGGTATATAAGGAAATGGGACATAGAGGAAAGAGGGAGGTAGCAAAGGCAAAGCAGAAGACATATGATGAGTTGTATGGGAGGCTGAACACTAAAGAGTGCAAAAAGGACTTGTACCGATTGGCGAGACAGAAAGATCAGGCTGGAAAGGATGTGCAGCGGGTCAGGCTTGTTCAAGACAGGATGGTAATAAGCTAACAAGTGAGGAGAACGTGATGGGTGGATGGAAGGTGTATTTTGAAGAGCTAATGAAGAGAATGAAATGGAAAGATGAGTAGAGGTCAAAGAAACAGTGGACCAGGAAGTGGGGAAAAAATAGTATGAAGCTTGGAAAACTCTGAAAAGAATGAAGGGGAAGGCAGAATGACCTGAAGACATACCAGTGGAGGTTTGGAAACATCTAGAAGAGATGGCAGTGAGATTTTTGACTAGAATAGCATATCTGAGGGTGAGAAAATGGCTGAGCGATGGAGGAGAAGTGTCCTGATGCCCATTTTTAAGAACAAGGGTGATGTACAGAGTTGTAGCAACTAAAGGGGAATTAAGTTGATGAGTCACACAATGAAGATTTGGGAGAGAGTTGTGGAAGCAAGACTTAGACAAGAGATGACTATCTGTGAGCAGCAGTATGGTTTCATGCCAAGAAAAAGCACCACAGATGTCATCTGTGCTTTGAGAATGCTGATGGAGAAGTACAGAGAGGGTCAGAAAGAACTCCATTGTGTCTTTGTGGATTTAGAAAAAGCATACGACAGAGTGCAGAGGGAGGAGGTGTGGTATTGTATGAGGAAATCTGGAGTGGCAGAAAAGTATGTTAGGCTGGTACAGGACATGTATGAGGACAGCAGGACATGTATGAGGACAGCAGGACAGTGGTGATATGTGCTGTAGGAGTGACAGATAGCTTCAAGGTGGAGGTGGGAGTGCATCAAGGATCGGCTCTGAGCCCCTTCTTGTTTGCTCTGGTGATGGACCGACTAACAGATGAGATCAGGCAGGAATCCCTGTGGACTATGATGTTTTCAGATGACATTATGATCTGTGGTGAGAACAAGAAACAGGTGGAAGAGAACTTGGAAAGGTGGAGGTATGCACTTTAAAGAAGAGGAATGAAAGTCAGCCGTAGTAAGACAGAGTACATGTGTGTGAATGAGAGGGAGGCCGGTGGAACAGTGAGGCTACAAGGAGCAGAGGTCACAAAGGTGCAGGACTTCAAGGACTTGAGGTCCACTGACCAGGAAAATGGGGAGTGCAGTAGAGGTGAAAAAAAAGAGTCCAGGCAGGATGGAGAAAAGTTTCAGGAGTGATTTGTGACAAAAGGGTGTCAGCAAAGGTCAAATGAAAAGTTTACAAGACAGTGGTGAGACCAGCTATATTTTATGGTCTGGAGACAGAGACATGGACACGAAGACAGGAGAAAGAACTGGAAGAGGCAGAAATGAAGATGTTGAGGTTCTCCTTAGGAGTGACAAGGATGGATAAGATTGGGAATGAGATAATCAGAGGTACAGCACAGGTTGAACAACTGGGAGATAAAGTTAGAGAGGCCAGACTGAGATGGTTTGGACATGTCAAGAGGAGGGACAGTGGGTATACTGGTAGAAGGATGTTAGAAATGCAGCTGCCAGAAAAAAGACAAAGAGGAGATATATGGATGCAGTTAGAGAGGACATGGAGGTAGTTGGAGTGAGGACAGGGGATGCAGAGGACAGAGATGGAGGAGGATGACTCGCTGTGGCGACCCCTGAAGAGGGAAAAGCTGAAGGAAAAGGTATTTTAAAGCTTATAGAATACTTTAAAGTTAAGCAACAAAGTTTTTCATAAAACACATTTTCTTGTTAAAACCATCTTCATTTCACAGTGTTTCATGTTATAATCGTTACTGGGCCAGAAATCGCAGCACAACCAAAAATATAACTTCACAAACACTCCACGGATTGGAAAACCAATTCAGAAAATCTCACTTAGTGTAAGTAAAAGATGAGGTGGGCACGAGAACAGGTTTTATTCTCTTCTTTAAAAAAATTAAATAATAAAAAGAGGAAGCAATGACTAATCAGGCAAATTTCAGACCTATGGATGAATATCTACAATTATTAAAGGCGTTCCAATCAAATAAATATTTATAATTCCAGCAACAAAATAGCAATAGAAAGTTTTAATGATTTGTATACTGTAGAAATATGAAGATTTTCATTACAATACATTAAACAAGCTAAGACGTTTCCCCCCTTTAACACGGGTGAATCAAATAAGAGCTTAGCAATTTTTAAATTTTTGTTGAACCTCCTTTTGCCTTCAGAACTGCTTCAGTTCTTTGTGACTTCTGTTCAGCAAGGAATTGGAAACTTTCCTCAGAGATTTTGCTTCATATTAACATTATGTCATTTAGTTGACACAGATTTGTTATACGCACATGATGCAAATGACAAATGACTATGGAGTCCAGTGAATCCAGACTTTTCAGACCAGGCGATGTTTTCAAAAATACATCTTATTGTTGTGAGCCTGTGTGAACTGTAGCCTCAGTTTCCTGTTCTTAGCTGTCAGAGGAGTGGGCCTGGTGGTCCTCTTCTGCTGTCGCTCATCTGCTTCGAGGTTGAACAATTTGTTCAGAGATGATAGTCTGCAGACCTTTGTTAAACTGCTGCTCACTGTATTTTTTTTTTTTTACCATTCTCTGCAAATCCTAGTGATGATTGTGTGTGAAAGTCCTAGTAGATAAGTAGTTCCTGCAACACTCAGCCTAGCTCCTCTGTCACCAACAGCCATGCCATGTTTAACTGTCATGTTTAAAGTCAATTAAATCTTCTTTTCCCCCATTTTCATGCTTGGTTTGAACTTTAGCAAATCGTTTTCAACTTGACTTCATGCCTACATGCGTTGAGTTGCTGCATGTGATTGACTGATTAGTTATTTGTCTTAATAACTTAATAACTGATTAGTTATTTGACTTTATCTTTGACTTGTTTAGTTGCTTGTCAAGACTCTGAACAAGCAACTAAACAAGTGTACCTAATAAAGTATAGTGTATATATCAGGATATATCTGAAGTAAACCAAGATTCTCATGAAGATTTTTATTAGAAAATACTGTAGTTGATCTCTGTTAATAATTCACGAATGTGAATGATGTAGATTTGCTGACCTGCAGTGAAGTGGAGGCAGCTCCTATTAGTAGGCCCAACGACTGGGCTACCAGGGCTGTGGATGTTGACAAGGCCATGAAGAGCAGGTAGCGACCTGCCTCTGCAGGCTGCTCAGTCATCCAGTACACTATACTGCAGTACATGATTGGACAAATCACCTGTAGAGGAAACAGTCTTTAGTGTCAGTATTTTGAACAGTACATGCGTCTCTGCACCAGTGAGCATTAAATCAGTAAAACTCCACCTGGAACGGTACGTCAGCCATGGTTTTAGCCAAGTAATAGGCCTTAAGGCTGTACCAGTAGTTGAGATGTTCCCTCATAAACACCGACATCTCCAGAGGAACTGTGGAAAGACAGCTCAATTAAAAGACTTCCCACGTCAGTCAGAAACAACAACACTCCTCCAAACCAATGTTTGCAGGCTCGGTGTCTTACAGGTTAGCACTGTGGGCATGAGGGCAGCAAACATGAGGAACAGCATGGAGAAGAAAAGGAAGCCGGTGTTGTTGAAGACCTTGCTGGCATCATTTCCAATATTCAGATAAAGCAGGCCGATAAGAACTCCGATAGACAAATGGGACATCACCCTGAGATGGGTCAGCACCTTGAAAGAAAAGAACACAACACAAGCACCCTCAGTGATATCGCCGAGAACAATACCCACTTTTTTAAAAAGATAGATTATAAAATCAAAGCAGAAATATTGTTTAAAACAATTACCGTGTCCCTGCATATTGTGACGAAGGTTCTTTTGAAGAGGATGCGGAACTGTGTGAACGTGCTCGTGGCAAAGCTACGCTTCTCCAGAGTTCCTGTGTCCTGTGAAATAAACGAGAGTTAAGTACCAGAGCAGGCATATTCCCTCTAAGCTAAACATTTAGCTGAAGTGAGCAGTTGCTTATGAACGCATAAAAAATGAATGAATTGCTTGCCTTTGATTCTGACCCAGAATTAAAGGCTGATCCTAGTTGTATCATAAAATATCAAGTTAATGACTATGTGCCGTAGCGTTTATGTGAACTTACATTCAAAGCACACAAGAGTGGTACCAGTCTGCTCATCTTAAACATGAACATAAACACATGTTTCAAGAAAACCCATGAGCTCATGCTCATTTAAAAAAAAAAAAAACTACAGGGAATACTTGTAGAATAAACGGCAAAACGTTATCCACCACTGCCGAAGTGTTTGAATAGTGAATGTTTGTAGTTCTGGAGATGTTGGAGTGTTTTTCTGGGCTGGAACTGAACAGGGAATGAAAGTAAACCTTAATGTTTTGGCTGCAAGATATTCAAGTAGGGAGGAGTTACACTTTTGAGGAGAGCAGAGGTAGGTTTTTTTTTTATAGAAGCAGTGCAGAGTGACAGATCCTGGTGAGTGGAGGAAGCAATTTAATCCAGCACCAGGTGCAATGGTGGAGCCAGGGGGTGGCCAAAGGTGGCCTTAGCCCCATAGATTAATCTTCAGCCACCCTTAATCATTTGAGGAAACTGCACTTTTAAGCAATATAAAAACTAGAAACTATAGTTTTCTCAAATGGTTGGGATGTACATGAGTGTGCATGCATGTATGGTGGTGGCCATCTTGGATTTTGACCTGTAACCAAATCTTTGAAAGGAAACTTTCTTACACTTTGATGTAGCCACACATCAAAATTTACATTTACATGCTCACAAAGTGGATGGGCATTTATGGCAGCAGCCATTACACATTTTGATGTGGCAACACAATTTTTGATAATGACTTTTCTTACACCTAGATGCAGCCACACGCCAAAATGGTAGTCGGTACTTCACTTAATTTTCAAGTTATCATGCACATCATCCACAACAGGCACAGAGGAATGGATGGATGAATGAACATAATGCCCGATTCATGTTTTTACTCTGCGACAGGGGACAATAAAATACCTGCAGGGTCAAATTAAAGCAACCAGTTCAAGCTGGTTCATTTTTTCCAGTTCAGACATTGTTCTATACAAAGTTACTTGTGGGATGGTGAAAAACAAAGTGGAGCAGAAGTTGATGGAGACTACAAAGAGGTTTTAACTGAGTTTGTCTAAACTGTTTAGAGACTCTAGTCAAGATTTTATCTGAATTTTCTTTAACAGCTTCTTTCTCTTTTGTACTCGGCCATGAAGCTGGTGAGGAACTCAGGCAACAGTTGCTGTATGCTCAGTCTCTCCCATCTCACCTGCTGAAGCTTGCAACTCCTTCAGAGTGGTCACAGGAGTGTTGGTGGTCTCTCTCACTATTCTCCTTCTTGCACTGTTGTTTGTGAGGACAGCTTGCTCTTGTTAGATTTACACACGTTCCTATATTCTCTCCATTTCTTGATAATGGATTTAAAACTTTAGGGATTTTTAGGGTCTTGCAAAACATGTATGGCTTGTACTTTTAAGCATTTTTTTCCTGAGCTGAATTAGGATTGGGGTGGCACGGGGGTGCAGTTGGTAGAGATGTTGCCTCTCAGCGAAAAGATCGCTGGATCAAATCCCAGCTGGGGACCTTTATGGGTGGAGTTTGCATGTTCTCTCCATGCATGATGGGGGTTCTCTGGTTTCCTCCCACAGACCACAAGCATGCATGTTAGGCTGACTGGTAACTCTAAACTGTAAATTGTCCCGAATGAGAGAGTGAACAGTTGTTTGTCTCATTTGTCTCTGTGTCCTTGTGATGGAATGGAGATCTGACCAGGGTGTCCTCCACCTCTCACACAGTGACTGCTGGATATGGACATCAGTGACCCCACGACCCGAAAAGGGAGAAGCGGGTAAAAGATAATGGATGGATGAATTAGGACTGGCATTTTGAAGGGAATACATATTTATGTATTTACTTATTCTACAGTGCCATTGTTAATTTAATTGGTATTATCTGCAGAAATATGATTCTGCGACAAAGTGAAGATTCAACACAATCTGCTGGCTTCCTTAGATAGATAACTTAATTGTTTTTTTTATGAATATGAATGTTTCTGTTCAGTGCCCTGAGATGACTTCTGTTGTGACTTGGTGCTAAATAAATAAACTAAACTGAATTAAATTTAAATTAGTTTTCACTTTGGCATTGATGAAGTTTTTTTCCTCCAAAGAAGATCAATTTATATTGAGCATGACTGATTTATGACAGCATAAAGCCTTCAAGGGGTGAATATGTTTAAAAGATTTGCATGTGAAACAGCCATGTCACTTACGGTGTAACACTGAGAAGGACAGGAGGAGTCGCTTTTGTCTGTGGAGTTCTTCTTGCCCTCCTCTGAGCACAGTCCACCCTGGACCGCCTCAAACAGAACCGGGTTCAGGTCTCCGTATTCTCCTGATGCCACTTCAATAACTGGAATCAGAGATTAGAAACAAATAAATCACACTGGGAGAAATGTAGACACGTGTGTCGTATAGAGGACTTGAGGGACTCACTGAAATCAGCAGGGTTGTGATACGTTGGACAGTGAAGACCCAAGTTCTTCAGGTAAGGGATGAGATACGGGACGGTTCCCTTGTAGATGCACTGACCCTGACTGAGGATGTACAGCTGGGGGGAAGAAGAACACAGGAACAGAGTCAACATTGTTTCCAACACACCACCTCCCTGAAAGAACGGATCAATAACCGACAAGACAACAGGATGGGACAATCGACTGCAGCGCTGCTTCTGCTGTATAAAATGATTCATGCCAACCTGTAGTGTCCCGGCGCGAGCTGCAGCTAATGGTCTGACGCAGTAAAAGCACTCAGCTTACCTTATCAAACATCTCAAAGAGCTTGGCACTGGGCTGATGAATGGTGCAGATGATTGTCCGTCCTCCCTGAGCCAGAGACTTCATGAGGGAAACGACCTGGAAGCATGACGCACTGTCCAGACCACTGTGGTGGAAAAGAAAACGTGGGGAGGAGGGAAGAGGCAGAAGCTCTAATGAGTGTGGATTCACAAAGATCTGAGGTGAGTTGGTGAGCTTTTACCTGGTGGGCTCATCGAAGAACATGACCGGAGGGTTGTTGACCAGCTCCAGGGCGATGGCCAGTCGTTTACACTGACCTCCGGACAGAGAGTTGGTCCGGGTCTGGGCACATTCTTGGAGACCCAGAGCGGTCAGGATCTCATCCACCTTAAAAACACACACAGAGAAACTGAGATACAAAAAAAACAACAACAACAAAAAAAACATGCAAAGCTAAAATTCTCACAAATACTAGATCATCTAAATCCACTAAAAGACGTGAGGATGAACCTGAATGCAGAGAAGATGAAGATCATTGGCTATGACTGTAATCGTTTTACTCTGTTCTGATTTGCTCTTTGGTGACAAACTGCTTTTTATTTATTTATTTATTTAAATTTATTTATTTATTTTTTTTACAAATTGAACCACTTAGGACCCAAAAAATAAACATTAAAAAAATAAAAATATACTTGTATATATTTAAATGTGTGAATAAAATAAAGGGCGGGACGGTGGGTCAGCTTTTTGCCTCATAGCAAGAAGGTCACCTGATCAAATTCCAGTTAGAGGCCGTCTGGGTGGAGTTTGCATGCTCTCTCCGTGCATGTTGGGTTTCCTCCCACAGGCCAAAAACATGCATGTTAGGCTGATTGGTAACTCTAAATTGTCCCTATGTGAGAGAGTGAATGATTGTTTGTCTCTATGTGTCCCTGTGATGGACTGGAGACCTGCCCACCAGTGACCCCCATGATGCAAAAGGAAGAAGTCGGTAAAGATAATGGGTGGATGGAATAAAATTAAATTTGACCAAAATATGCATTTTTAAAGCACAGATTTTATTTTTTGCATTTTATTACTAATGATAGAAGAATTAGATTTATTTTGTCTGCTTTCTTATATTTTTTCTATAGTCAAAGTGTTTTTCTACTCAACACAACACAAACCGTCGTCCTTACAGCATGAGCAAAACCTCACTGGCAATGAGCACAAAGATAGAACCATTTATATATTTCCAGTCCCCCCAGAAGGAGGATGTCCTCCCATCCTCTGCAGTCACTGTCCCCACATTCCAAGCAGCTGGAAGACACATAGTTTTGGGCTGAAAGTATACGTTGTTAAATTAGTTGCAATGTCAGGAACACAAGAGACAAAATATTGCAACTTGATGTTTTTCTTGCAGAGTTTAACTTAGAAAAACACTAACAATTAGAAAAAGGAGAAAACGCATACACTGTATTTAATTATTTTATCACCATCTTCTGCAAAACATTTTGGAGTTTCAAAAAGATCTCATTTTGCTTTGATATCTATTTTAGTGTATTTTTGTCAAGCGCGGTAATCTATTTTAGACTGCGGCTGTTTTTTTTTTTTCTCTTCTCTGAGTTGAAGTTGCATTATTTAAAAATACATGTTCCCCAAAACATGTGAAAAACTTTACCTGGGAAATCTTACACACAACATGATACAAAAAGAGGATGAATACCTTATTAAAATATTGTTAACAGCAAGTGAAAAGGCCATTGTAAGAACGTTGCATAAAGTGTTTCCACCGACCGTGCAGCAGTGAGTGCATTGTGGAAGATATTTGCTACGGAAAGACACTCATAAATTAAGACTGCACGAGGTGCAATTTAATAAAAAATGGGAAAAATGGACTTATAGAAAGACTATAGCGCCTTCACAACTGGATAATGAGAACCGTTGAAAATCAACCTTTGTTTAAGGATGCATGTATATTATACTTGTACACTGTTCTAAGAAAATGTCAAATAAGTGAAAAATGTATAAATTTTTACATCTTTTCCTGATTTTATTTTTTTTTTTAGGTTTTTCTTCTCTTCCTAATAATTCTGAGCTTTTGTATAACTGGGGTTATTTGTGCCAAAAGTTTTGTTAATTAGCAATGTTAGCAGTTTTGCCTTGCATCAGAAAAAAAAGGTTGAATGAATGAATTTCGACTTCTGATTTACAAAATAACCGTAGCACAGATTTGCAACCTCAACTACAATAGGTTTAAGTATGTAAACAATGGTAATGGGATAATTAAACAAATGCAAAATGACACGAACAGCTTCAACAAACACAATTGGTTAAACGTGAACCGATGCACGGCTGCTTTCTACAAATGCATGTTTTGTTATAATTAAGACAAATCTACACTAGTAACAGTAACTTTTTAAATTTTATTTCACTCTTAGAGATCTTCTCATGGCCACTGCTTGGTGTGTCCCAGCCCACAGTGGGGTCAGGAACCCCACTTTTAGAACCACTGAGGTCTTGAACTTGTCTGCATCCAGCTTTTTTTTAAAGGAGGAGCGAGGAACAAAATTAAACTGACCTCTAAAAATTATTGCATTACATATTAAAGCAATATTTATGTCCTTTAAACGTAGGGTTCTGTGTAAAGACTTGAACAAGCAATATCTTACCTGTTGCAGATAACTTCAGCTTGGACAAATAAAGCTCACTTTAAAACACTTGAACTATCTCTTTAAAAAAATCATAATGACAGTACGAGATGATGATATCAATATGATATTGTCATATCGATGCGATGTCGTAATATTGATACGATATCATAACGATATGATAGTAGTTCAGACTCACAAGTTCTTTTTTGACCTGCATGGTCTCGTTCAGCTTCAGGTTGGCAGAAACCTACAAGACAGACAAAACTCATCACCTGTTATTGAAGTTTAAGCTTCAGACAGGTGTTTGTTTCTTCTCACCATCATGGCCTCCCGTGCAGTGAGGTGTGGCAGTAGCATGTCGTCCTGCATGATGTAGCAGGACATCTTCCTGAACGTCCTCAGATCCCGTGGCCGGCCGTTTACAAGAATTGTGCCCTTCATGCCGGTTTCCCTGTTTTCAAACAAACAGCAAGTGCAAAACTCCTCTGCTTATGAAAATATAAATAAAATGATAAAGTAATATACATTGTACAGGGTTAGATGTCAGTTTCTCACCTGTATCCTGCCAGAATGTTCATCAAAGTGGATTTCCCGGCTCCAGAGGGGCCCATGATGCCGATCAGCTCTCTGCTGCAAAATCGTCCTGACAGACACTTGAGGAGCGCTTTAAAACCTGGAAGAACCAACGAAACCTCATTTAGCTGCAAAAACAAAAACCTGCTGCTGAGAAAATCAATTACAAATGGGATTTCCACACATGTTCACTGTAATTAGGATATAAGAAGATAAAAAGCATTGCAGATGAAATGTTAAGATTTATAGATCTGATTTCAGACACATTGATTCAGATGCTAATTGTTTTCATGGTTTTCTGGTTTTATATTGAACCCAGTTCTGTGACAAATAAGGAACTGTTAATTTTAAATCATCACTGTGGAAACTCAGGAAACCAAGCATTCAACTCAAGGGCAAATATAGAAAAAAAAAGACAACATTTTTATTATTTTAAGAATGTTATTCATCCTTGGGCCTGATTGGGTCTTTATGATTTTTTAAATCAAACAGTTAAAAACATTTCCTCTCAGTAATGTTTAAGTTTGACATTTCCTATAACATGAAATGTTATTTTGCATTAAAAAAATGCTCCTAATATGATACCAAAATATATTTTCTTCAAGCAGATGAAAAAATATGAATGGTTTAAAACCAGAAGAACACAAGTGGATAAAAAAGGGAAATCTTAAGCTCAATTCCCAAATAAATCTGCTTTTTAATCCACTTTGCAAGAGTAAAAATCAGATATGAACAATTTAACTAAACAGTAGGCTATTCAGAACAAAGTTTCTGACAGAATTTAAACTTATTTTGAGCTTATTTTACGAGACAAAAAAGTCCCAGACCAACTGGTAAAAAAATAAATGATATATATTTTTGTAACTTTAAAGCTTATTGTTGTGAAGAAAGCCAAACATAAAAAAAGATGGTAAAACACTGGTAATAATTCAAGTGAGCGTCTCTGGAGATAAACAGCCAAACGTTGATTCACATTCTTTATTTATGGGTTTGTGCCGTGCGGTTGAAGTTACGTTCTTTTCTCTATCAGTAAGAGCCTCCTGACACGTCTTCTTCCTGACAGATGAGAATAAATCACGTGCAGCTCTAGCTCCAACATGTTGGAGAGTTTGAGCGTTTTGTGTCATTGCTGTATGACAGGTGCTTCATCATTCACTGAAAAGAGACACTGATCATGTCTTTGCCTGGGTCTGTTAGCAAAATATCTCATGAAACTGACGGGATTTTATTAAAACGTTAAGAAAGCAACCACTGGATGCAACCTGGTAATGTTTGGAGTCAGTCCAGTTCAAGAGTTAATCAACCTTATCCAACACAAAAATAATTCAAACTCAGTGGTGAAGATCAATCTTGATCCAAAAAAATATGTAAAAAACAAAAACAACTGAACTTCTGTGAAGCTGAAGACGTTGGCTCTGGGAGGCTTTATCAAGTCAAAAAAACAACAACTCTAAAACTCAAACTCTAAATTCGCTCTAAACTCTAAAAATTGTAACTTGGTTATGATTTTCACTTTTACAGGTTTTCAGCTAAAATTTGACGTGGTGGTAGCTGAGAGTCATTCACAACACGTTCTCTGAGAGTGACATCTGGCGATATAATTTGAGAACGTGCATGGTTTTTAATGAAGGGAAGATGGAGTATCATTTTCTGGTGATAGTGCTCCTGATAACGTTGATGTTCTGACATCAGACATCAGGACCACACTTAAAAACTTGGCGGTGACCTTTGACAAGGATCTGAAGTTTGATAAAAATATATCGTCTGTAATCAACGCCAGCTTTTATCAGGTATGTCTATAAACCAAAACTGAGACTTTTTAAAATCGGCCTGACCTGAAAAAGGCCATTCATGCTTTTATCAGCTCAAGGCACGACTACTGTCATTTAAGGACTATTGAGCGCACCTGAATATAAGCCGCGTCCGCTAAATTTAAAAAGAAAATTAAAATTTTACATAAATAGGCCACGTGTGTCTATAAGCCGTGGGTGTTCACGTTGTAACATGAGATATTTACACAGAAAGACTTTTTCTTACTTTTAATTAAATATCTACCGGTAACACACACAAATACAGTAAATGTTTTTTGTTTTTTTTTCTGAACAGTGCCTGTAACATGACTGATAAAAATAAAAAACAACAGTAGTCTACCAGGAAGTCATTGATCGCTACCCCCCAAGAGAGATATGCGTTGGGCAGCTATGTGAGTGGCTGGGTGTGGCCAAGCTAAACGTTTTGGTTAGACCATAAAAATTATTATTTTTTTAATTAGCTACAGTATTGTATAAGCCACGGTGTTCAAAGGATGTGAAAAGAGTTGCGGCTTATAGTCCAGAAATTACTGTATTACTTTTTTTTGGTCTCCTTTAGCTTCCAGTTGGGCAGCACGGTGGCGCAACTGGTAGAGCTGCTGCCTCTCAGCGAGCAGGTCCTTGGTTCAAACCCCGGTCCAGGGGCCTTTCTGGGTGGAGTTTGCATGTTCTCTCCGTGCATGCGTGGGTTTTCTCCGGGTACTCTGGTTTCCTCCCACAGACCAAAAACATGCATGTTAGACTGATTGGTAACTCTAAATTGTCCCTAGGTGTGAGTGAGAGAGTGAATGGTTGTTTGTCTCGTTTGTCTCTATGTGTCCCTGTGATGGACTGGAGACCTGTCCAGGGTGTACCCCGCCCCTCACACAGTGATTGCTGGACATGGGCACCGGCGACCCCCGTGACCCAAAATGGAACAAGCGGGTAAAGAAAATGGATGGATAGCTTCCAGTCCGTTTTAGAATTGATTAAAACTTCTATTATTCACTTTTAAAACTCTTACTGGTCTCGCCCCACCTTATTTAGCAGATCTAGTAGCTTTTCATGAGTAAAAGAGGACATCAAGATCAACTAATACTTCTTTACCGTTTGCCCCAAACTCCAGCATGTTGGAGTAACCGGGCCTTTTTGGTCACCACACCCAGACTGTGGAACCAACAACCTCCGGACTTGTGCTCCATTACTGCAAACTAACTAATTTTAAAACCTTTTTATTAAGGCTGGTTTTTAAGACACTATGACATTTTTGTGTTGTATCATTTTGAAGCACTTTGTGCACGTTTTGGCTGTTGCACAGGTCTCTACAAATAAAAGTTGACCGACTGTGGATTACCGTATTTTTCGGACTATAAGGCGCACCAGATTAAAAGGTGCATTAAGCGAAACAAAACAGTCAGATAAGTCAAACTTTGTTCAACTCATTCACAATAACTCTCAACATTGTTCAGTTGTACCACATAAAACCAGTTCCATGTCAGTAAGCACAACCAGAATTAATACATAAGGTGCACCGTATTTTAAGGCTCGCCGTTGATTTTTGAAAAAATTAAAGGAAGTGCACCTTATAGTCCGAAAAATACAGTAGATGATTTTAGACTGAAAGGCTGCGGGCGATATGCATTCCTTCAGTAAATGTTAGGCCTTTAATTCTTCAAGCGTTTCAGTTTGTGGTATTCTCTTGGAAGATCAAAGAATTTAAAACAGAATTAACAAAGCTGGCACCAGCACAAGCTGAAGAACCATTGCTGGTATGAAACTGTGGTTTTGTTCCCCTGCAGATAAAAAAAAAAAAAAAACAGCTCAGCTGCTCAGGTTTTTTGTGACGTTCTCACTGTGAGGTTCTTGGGAAAAGCAGAACCATATTTAGAGCTGACACATCCTGAAAGCTTCCAGAAATGGAAACTTGTCACCCAAATCTCCAGCGTCTACACAGATGCTCCTTCCTGTCTTGAGCAGCGTAATTAGAGGGTCTCAACCACAGATAAAGACGGCGCCCCCTCCTCTCTGGCACGGTTATTACATTAAGCAGCCTGCACTCAGACAGACGAGCTGCCGGCTGTAAGGGAGGCAGCATGTGGTGCATACTGATGATGTAACCCTGACGATGTTATCTGTGAGAGTCAGCGAGCTCACCCCTCTTTGTCTCGTGGGAGTCAGACAGGATGGAGCTCGTCTCAAAGTCCACTCCTGTCACCGCAAGGGTGCTCGTCTCTAACCACATCTGACAGGGTTTACTCACTGACTCAAGCCTGAACTCCTGGGTAATTAAACAGGAAATGTTGGATGGATGCTCGTGGTTCCCAGTGAAGCTGAGGTTCAAACCGATGCTCAACCTGTGTCGACTTGAACTACAGTGACCCATCAACTGTGTTAACTGACCACAGAAATAAATAAAATTAAATAATCGCTTGAAACAGTTTGAAATGTGTTTTGTTGGAAAGGTATAATACAATTACTTGTTCTATGTATTGTTAGCTCATTAATGTGCTCAAAATTAAACTGTATTTCAACAAAAGGAGGTTGTTCAAAGAGCTGTCGGTGTGATATTAATCGTTCATAACCTTTCCACAGAACCACACTTCAACGGAGCCATTAAACTAAATCCTTTCATTAAATTCCAAATGTTTACCGTAATTAAAATCACCTACAATTTGTTCATTGCAAAACTCAGGATGAAACCATGTCATTTGTGAAGCTGTCATGGGAAAAAGAGGAAAAATATCTGTAACGTTGCCCAATTATAGACTCAAACCACCTCACAGAAGGTCCAAAACCCTTTAAATCGGCGCCAATAAGACATTTACTTAAATGCACCCCAGTTATGCTAAACCCCACAACAGGTCGATAAGCCTTGAAACATTTAAATTATGTGCAAAATATATATATTTAATATTGGACCATTATAGGAGACTATAAAGAACTCTAGAGAAGTTTGTGAACATGTATCTCCACAAAGACTGGTTCTCCCCAGTTCTGATGCAAACCTCATGGAGCCACCGAGCAGTCAGGTGAGAGTTGAACAGGTTGGCTTCCATCATCGCTCATCCATCCCGTCTGCTTTTGTTTCATCCTTTCTTTACCCAGTCAGTCGAGGCAGGCTGCCTGGTTGTGCTGGAGGTTCCTTCCTGTTCAAAGTCTTTTCTTTCCACTGTCGCTCGTGTGCAGCCCAGGATGGCAAGTTGAGACAAAGTGGAGATCCAGTTCAATCGGCTGGCGTCTTTAGATAGATCACTTTTTATTAATGGGCATTTTATAATGCGTGCGAATGTTTTTGAACAGCGCCCGGAGACGACATTGTTATACGTCACTTGAAGGCGAGCGCGGGACGTATTATGGGATAGTCTCCGTCCGTCCATACCTCCTGTAGCCCTGTACGTAAACTTTCTATTGTCCCGCCCCTAACTTCTGATCCGCTCAAGATCATTTAGCAAAACTTCAGACAGATACGCATCATCATTAGATGGAGTGTCACATACACTTTCATCAGCCCAGCTTCAAGGTCAAGGTCACAAACCAAGATCAACACTAAAACAAGGCCTGTGTTTGTCCGTACCATTGATAAAGATTGTTGTATTGCTGTATAATAGTTTGTCAACATATATAATGTGTATAACTTTATATATTATAATATGTTATGCATATATACTGATATTATGTTGTATATTATATACACATCATATAATGTGTATAATGTGCTGTATGAGGAACTTTTATTAATTGGGGCTGTATAAATTTCTGCTCCTGTATCATGGAACACCTTGCACAAAAAAAAAAACCCTGAAGCTGTCGACTTTGAGTCTCTATAAGAGATTTTAAACAACTGTTAAGTTTAATGGAAAAATCAATGCAGACATGTTCCTGTTTTTAGTGTTTTACCTCGTTTTATAATGAAGCTTGATTTTATTTTTGTTTTGTAACACTACTTTGATTTACTTTTTATTTCATATGCATTTTATGGCTGTTTATTGTCGTCTGTACCTCATCTGTGGTTTGTCTAAAACAGGTCTCACTTGAAAAGGAGTCCTCGTGACTCAATGAGACTAACCTGCATGAATAAAGGTTGAATTCAACCTTTGAATGAATGAACCTCTTGAATGAATTGAACGAAAAAACAAACTGAAATGAACTCGTGCAAACGTTGACAACAGCTGCCTTTAATGAACGTGGAGGATGTGATGCCGTTGAGATGAATAAAAAAGAAATAAAAGAGAAGAATACTAAGTTGTATCAAAAGTCACCTCCACTAAACTGGCAGCGACACAAAAAAACTACTAAACTGCATAATTTCAAATAACTTTTTCTTTGTAATTACACTCACTCAGGCAGAGAACTGATGCTCTATTTGAGTTTATTTCAACTAATAAAAAAAAAACCACAATAATGTGCATCTCTTCAGAGTTGTTTTTAAAAATGGTGCATTTTTAATACAACACATGTGATGTGACTCTTTTTTATATACTAAACTTCATCAGGATTGGTCCCTGAGCTCACAGCGTATGACATTTAAGCTACGTGTGCTGAAGCGTTTCAAAGAGAGGTTGAGGAAGCCGAGTAAGCTAAGTAGATGTGTTTTTGTCTGCGAGCACTTCCTCTCTGAGAACAACAAACTCTGATCATCAGCACATGCAGAGCAGCAGCCCACTAAATCACCAGGAGGCAGCACCTCCTGCTCTCCCTCCCTGCTCCTCCCGTCTTTCTCCTTAGAAACCTTGAACCACATGACACTCATACAAGACTTGTGCAAACAACATATCTCCACATTTACAGCATTCTCTTGGTAATCTTCTTCCTACTTGTCACAGACCTTGCAAGACACACAAGCAGCTTATGAGTAATTAGAAATGTTACATCTGAATTACAGAAGACATCATGAGCTCACAGGTCAGGACGCTTGTTATTCCACTTTTACTCTGACATATAATTAATCATGGATGTTTTTTCCCAAGCTGATGTCTCTCGACACTCAGAGGTTTGGTTAGTGAATGTTTGTAGTTTTTGAGATGAGCGTTTTTCTGGAAGATATTCAAGTGAGTAAGAGAAGAACAGAGGGAGCTGTTTTTTTTATTATTGCTTGCTCAAGGTAGCACAGATTCATGGATCCTGATGAGTGGAGGGAGCAATTTTTTTCAAACACCAGGTGCAGAGGTGGGGACAGGGGGTGGCCACTGGTGGCACTGGCCACCATAGATTAATCTTTGGCCACCCCAATTATTTGCAGAAACTATACTTTCAATCAATCTAAAAAAAAATAGAATGCTGGCACAAATGAATGGGGTGGTCTATTTTCATATACATTATATATCTGGAGGCAGCCATCTTGGATATTGACGTGGCAAGCCAATTTACAAGAGTGACCTGTCTCACGTCTATGCAGCCACACACCAAAAAGGAAGTACTGACTTTTTAAGTTATCCAGCTCACAAGACGAACGGATGGAGAGTATTTCCAATTTCCCTGCGCGCTCTGCAACGTGGGACAAACGTTGGGCTTTTTGGGCTGTTCGGTTAAATTCATGTGTCTGTTTGACGACATGAAGCATTGCAGAAAAATTCAGAGTGGATGAAATGTTCACATTTATAAATTCGATTTCTGTAGAACCGTCAGACAAATTGATTTTGATGCTAATCATTTTTACGGTTTGGGAGTTTTATATTGATATTAACCCTGCTCTGTGACAGATTGGCAACAGTTCTAAAATATTAACATAAAAACTCAAGAAAACAAGCATTTAACTCAAGAACAAATTTATAACACATACATTTTTGATAGTTACCTTTCTTACGTCTAGATGCAGCCACACTAAAATAGGAGTCGGTAAGTTGCTTATTTTTCAAGTTATCCAACTCACAAGGTTTACACAATAGCATACATGGCGGCAGCCATCTTGGATTTTGATGTGCCAACCCAATTTACAAAAGGGAACGTTGTTACGTTTAGTTGCAGCAACACACCAAAATGGAAGTTTAAACCTTGTTTGTTTCAAGGTATCATGCTCACAACATGGACGGACGGAGGATATTTCCAATCCTCATTTTTCGCTCCATGATTAAGGACTACTAATAACCGATTAAAAGGACAGAGCAGGAATACGATGTTAACTTCTCGGTGATCGAACATGATTTACAGCTCCGATCTGAAGGTCACACAGCCATTCCCGAAGCTGTCAGGTGATCAGGAAGAGATCTTGTCACGGTTTGTGGAGACTGGACCCAGTACGAGCAAAGACGAGAAAATCAAAAGAAAACCAACTTGGAAAAATCACGAGGAGACACGGAGGCTCTCCGGACATAAAGTAAAGCAAACACAATGACAGACTGAAGGTGAGGTGAAAGCTGGAGGACTTTATGGACAGGGGCTGAGATACCTGAGGAGAATGACAACTGTGAACAGGTGAGAGGGCAGGGCTGGAGCTGAGGAGCAGTTCTCCATAAATGATTTATTTTCTTCTGCACTCTTCACACAACAGTGCAGAGGTTTGGAGGGTTTGTGGTAGAAAAGAAGCACAATCAAAGAAGAACAGTTTTCAAAGTCACAGGACTGGTGCTGTGGTTGTGAGGTTGTTGCGTCAGTGATTGCACTCTCATCCAAAGGCATCACCGCTGCAGGAAACTCATTTAAACCAACCTACATCATTTAATGGAGACCTGTGTTAGATGAACCAGGAGGTTACCGAGTGGCTTTGGAGATCAGCACGCTCTGACCTATAGCTTTAACGTTAATACAGTCAAAAATCTCTTGCTGTAGTTTATTTTTCTTAAGTTTTGTTTTATTATTATAGCAAAAATATATGACTAAAACAACTTTATTAAGACTTAGTTAAAAGTTTCTGCCTAAAAACAAACAAAAAAATAAACCAGCAGTTTTCTTCTCCTTGTTGTACTTTCTCTATTTAATGATGGGATGTTGTTCAAGAGAACTTGGCTTTTAATTTTTTTTAAAATTAAGTAAAATTAAAGATTTAATAAACCCTGGTTTTGGAAACAATATAAATTTAACAAGCAGTGTCAATGTCCCCTGTTGCTAAGGTTTAAAAAAAAAAAAATTATTTAACCTTTATTTATACAGGTTAATCACATTGAGCCTCGAGGACTTGTTTACAAGAGAGACCTGATTTCTTAACAAAGAGTGATGACAACAATGGACACATTTGAATAGTGAATATTTGTAGTTTTGGAGATGAGTGTTATTCTGAGTTGGGATACTGGAACAGGGAATGCAAGT